ACATTTATATAAATGTTTAAGCCAGAATGATTTGAAATTTAAATATGAGAATTAGGAAATGCAACGTTTAGAACAGCCACTTCCCTACGACTTTAAAAGTTTTTAACTGAAATATGTTTGACTTGAAGCTGAATGATTTCTGTTAATAAACTCTTATATTTTGAACAGAAGTGGTAAATTTATTCCATATATGTGCAGAATTATCTCTTTAAACATGAATTAAACTCAATTCAACCTTTGATTTATTGTTCTAACACACAGCCAGTAGGGGGCGTGTTCATAAACAAAATATGACAGACTGAATAAAATCTGATTAAATAAGATATTTGCCCCCCCTCCTGGTTTGGGCAATAAACATCAAGTATCACAACATAATATGGCGTCCCTGCTGGCTGGGCATTAAATATAACAGTAACAACTGCTTCATCATGGATACATGCATTTATTACATTATAGTAATTACATCTTACATATAATTTTCAGGATTTTACATCAATGCACAAATGGTGCCGTATACGTTTATGTTGTCAGTGAAGGAAAACGGTGGTTTAACATTCAGACTGAGGGAGAAACAGAGAACTACAGTTATGGAGGAAAGTTACTGAAATAAATAAACAACGGTGGATTAAATGTCACAAAGTGCCAATAATCTTTATTCATTAATTAAATGGTTTGTTTTATACAGAAGATGCACATATTTTATATTTCTGTTTTAATTGAATTTATCATAATACATAGTTACCAGTGTTGTATAGTAACGAAGTAAAAATACTCCAAAAATATTTTGGAGTACTTTATACTTTCCAAGAGTATAGATTTTTTTTTAGATCTTTCACTTTTACTTCACTACATTTACAAACTTAATTGCGTACTTTTACTTGGATACAATTTGGTTTAGTTACTCTTGCCTGGATTCGTTCATCAACACCAGTAAAGCCAGTCTAAGTTTATCCTACATTTGGTTGTTTATTTTATTTTAAGTGAATTTAACCTTCAAAGTTTCCAAAAATGTAAAAAAAAAAAATGTAATTCAAACTGCATTTACTTTTTACTATTACTTTCCACTACATTACTTGAGTACATCTGTTTTTACAGTGATTCTTATACTTAAATAGAAGCCATTTCAGAAACTTTAAGACTTTTACTCAAGTAACATTTCAGTGACTCGGACTTTTACCAAAGTCATATTTTGGAGACGAACTTATACTTTTACTGGACTCCGAGTGTGACGGCCCCATGTGCAACCACACAACAAATGGTCCGGTAATTCTTTAATTAAATATTCTATTTTATTGTACTGTATTTCATGTTTTTCTACTTTGATTTGGCGTTGGTTAACTATTTGGATGCTCACATTTAGTCGACTCATTTTGTCGTTTCTTGCTGTTTGTTTTTCTGTACATTAATTATTTTTCATTTGAGTTCCCAGTTCCTGGGAGGCTGTGAATGAAGCCAGTAAAGGAAAGGAGGCTCCATCTGCAGAGGATCTCCTCATTGACATGGAGGCCTAGTTGGACTCTTCCACTTACTTTTAGAAGGGGTGTAGAAAAGGTTTAGGTTTCTGTATTTGGTTTTGTTTTCTATAACAACACTTGGAAAATTAAATATTTAAGTCCTCTTCCTCATAGGTTGCTAATTTAGTATGATGATTAGTTTTGTCTTTTGTTGTAGTTTTGTTTAGGAAAATGTATTTTGTTTCCCTCTTGTTTCTAAATGGTCTGATCAACCAGTATATATATATGTTTCCCCTGTGTGTCAGTTAGGCAGGTCTTTTCCTGTGTCAGGTTTGAATTATGCTGATTTTTGTCATTTGTTTTCCTTGATGGGCCCAGTCTTGTTTGAACTTTTGAACTTTCTTATTTTTGCAAAATTAATTTGTTACCATTTTTTCATTAATGACTTCCCTGTGCTTCTCTGATTTTTTGGCTCGGTCCCTCACACCGAGATTTCAGTACTTTATGATAGTTACAATGATTTTATGATAAATACATTGTACAGATTCTTGGATCTTTACAAAGTAGATTGAGGAATCTGCTCTCTTGTTTGTTTTTATCAATCAATTTCTTTATTGTAACCTATAGTTTGCATTCTAATCGAGATTTCAGTTTCATTACAAACTGTTCATCACATCCTTTGGGGGGGTTGGCAACGATTTACTGAGGCCGTGCTGCCATTGGTGCTTTCTTATGGCTCCCAAGGGCCCCACCATGACGCCGTTCCCTATACCACTGCTTTATGCATATATATATATATATATATATATATATATATATATATATAAAACTGTAACTGGAGCGTGTAACAAAAGTAATTTCCCTCTGGGTTTATTAAAGTATTTCTGATTATCTTTGTAGAAACATAGGAGCCAACATAGCCAGGCCAACCATCCCCCCCACACTGGAAAAAAACAAAATCTAGATAAGTCATTTTTTTCTTAAAATAGCTGCATTTGTTCTTGGATTGAGGAGGAAAGAGAAAC